AGATGATCACCAAACTCCCAATCACCACCGAACCGTCTAGGTGATGGCGATCACTAAGAGTAACAAGCACAAACTCTCACTTGACCATGACAAAGCCTAATGAGAAGGGTGGATGCACACTTGCTACTCTCCTTGCACTAATGAGAACCTTAATCTTGGATTCTCAAATCTCAATCATCCCACTAGACTCTTGCTCTCCCTTGCACTCTCAAGGTGTTTCTCAGCTGAACAAATAGGCAAGAGACCTCCCATGGATGAGTGGAGTAAGTATTTATACCCCCTCAATCAAAACATAATGTTTGGAGGTTGAGTCAGCACTCTGCGGGGTGACCGAACGCTCCGGTCAGTTATCCCCGCCACTGTGTCAGAAAGAGCCGTTAAGTTCTGACGGACTCTGACCAGCATCCAGTCAGCACTGATCGGACGCGTTCAGTAAAGAAAAACGCGCTCTGGAACCTTACTGATGTTAACCGAACGCTGGCACCCAGAGTCTGGTCACTTCACTGTTCAGCGTCCGGTCAGTTACTGGATCCTAACCAGCGTCCGGTCAGCACTGACCAGACGCGCCCGGTCAAGAAAATCCTTCTCTGGAACCTCTTTGGAGTTGACCGAACGCTGGCAACCAGCGTCCGATCCACTTTCACTCAGCGTTCGGTCGGTACCAGATGACTTCAATTGATTAAATGAACTAACCGGACTCACCCTCTAGCGCCCGGTCACAACCAGACCAACGTCGGGTCAATCATTTGACCCTCCATTTACTTTCAACTCAAAATTCTATATGAATAAAGTTTGCTCCAATTGATCTTAGAGCTACTCCTGAGCTACCTAGTGCTAGATTTGATAAGTGTACACCACACCTAATCCACTAGACTCACCTAGGTTAAGTTATTAGTCCATACCCCCCTTAATAGTACGGCCAAAGAAAAAACAAAGTCCTAAACTACTCTAAATGTCTCTTCAACACCAAACGACACTTAGAACTAGTTCGTCCTTAACCTTGTCGTCCATCCTTTGAAAACCAAAATGATTTCCATCGATGGGGGCATGACAACCATGATTGCCCAATCAATTGCCATTACCATAACCTAATTCAAATTGCCTCTGCAAAACACACGTTAGTCATAGTAATCTCGTGTCGTCATTAATCACCAAAATCCAACTAGGGGCCTAGATGCTTTCACTAAGCATGGAGATTTTGTCCTTTATATAAATATGAATAAACTCCAAATAAACATAAACTACTCTGCATGATATAAAATTCATCGGCACATTGCTCCTGATAAACTCCGCCCTGTTTTCTTCATCACCGAGTTCATATATTTTATTTTTAAATCATGTACTACCCGTCCTATATATTTGTATTGCAGGATCATCGTCTGGGTGGTCGCACCATCTGGCCTTCGAATTTCTCCGCCGATCAGCTGGTCGGACCGCTAGGTTCATGACTTCATCGCCGACCAGTTGGTTGGACTGTTCGGCATTCACTTCTACTCGGCACTTACTTCGCCGCCGACCAGTTGGTTGGGCTGCTTGGTGCTCGATTCTTCACCAACCAACTGGTCGGATTGTCCATCGCTTCATCATTAGCCACGCTGGGGGCTCGCCAGCTAAGCTAAGGACTCCCCGACGTTTGGATTCTTCGTGCAAGCATTGCCAGAAGCTAAGGACTTAGCGTTTGGATTCTTCATGCAAGAGTCGTCAGCTAAGCTAGGGACTCCCTTAGCAGTCGGATCTCGCTACGTCTCATCGGTGTGCTATCAAGTTGCTCCATGCTATTCGGATCAGAGTGCTGATCTTGGGCAGCACGTTTGGTTCTTGATACGCACATGTCAGATAACATCGGCAAGCTTTTAGACTTATTTTCTTTGAGCCTGCTACAAGATTCATTCTTCATCTTCTAGTAGGCTCGGGGACTAAGTGGCTATACTTCACCTGACAGTGAATGTAGTGCTTATTTCCTGATTTACCCACCTTATTGACTAAGTCATGGATGATAATCATCTGACCTCGTAAACGGAGTCTAAGTGGCTACACTTTGCCTAAGGTGGAGAATTTTCAAATTTTTATCTTGAGCCCCTTACCTCCTTCTAGCAAGCCTTACTTGGCTAAGTCCGAGATCTACGTACCAGTTAAATCAGTCGGCTTCGACTTTCACTGCTCAGTTCACCAGTTAAACTGGTCGGCTTCAACTTTCACCGCTCAGTTCACTAGTTAAACTGGTCGACTTCGACTTCCACCGCTCGGATCACCGGTTAAACTGATCGGCTGAAAGGTCCTAATATGACTAGAGGGGGGTGAATAGCCTATTTAAAAATCTATAAATCAACTAGAGCAATTTGATTAGTATAACAAATAGCGAAATGCAAACTTGCTCTAGCTCAACAAGGGTTGCAAGCCACCTATCCAACAATTTTAATTGCTATAATCACTAAACACACAATTTGCTATGTCACTACTCACTAAGAGCTCTCACACTTGCTACACTAAAGAGCTCCACTAGATGAACTTAAACTACAAAGCAAGCTCTCAATTCTAGTTACACTAAAGATCTTAATGCAACTAGTTTGCAAGAATATAAATGAGTGAGTAGGGTGATTATACTGCCGTGTAGAGGAGTGAACCAATCACACGATGAATATTAAAATAATCACCGGGAGAATACCAAAGGGCAAGAGACAACCAATTTTCTCCCGAGGTTCACGTGCTTGCCGGCACGCTAGTCCTCGTTGTGTCGACCAACACTTGGTGGTTCGGCGGCTAAGAGGTGTTGCACGAACCTCGTCCACACAATAGGACACCGCAAGAACCTACCCATAAGTGAGGTAACTCAATGACACTAGCAATCCACTAGAGTTACCTTTCGGCGCTCCGCCAGCGAAGGCACAAGACCCCTCACAATCACCATGATCAGAGCCGGAGACAATCACCAACCTCCGCTCAATGATCCTCGCTGCTCCAAGCCGTCTAGGTGGCGGCAACCACCAAGAGTAACAAGAGAATCCCGCAGTGAAACACAAACACCAAGTGCCTCTAGATGCAATCACTCAAGCAATGCACTTGAATTCTCTCCCAATCTCACAAAGATGATGAATCAATGATGGAGATGAGTGGGAGGCCTTTTGCTAAGCTCACAAGGTTGATATGTCAATGCAAATGGCCAAGAGGGTGAGCTTGAGCCGGCCATGGGGCTTAAATAGAAGCCCCCATGAAATAGAGTCGTTGTACCCCTTCACTGGGCACAACATGGGGTGACCGGATTCCGGTCAGATCGATTGAGACGCTGGACCCCAGCGTTCGGTCGTGCGATGCACGTCACGTGTCCCCTCTTCAAATACTGAGCGCTCGATCCCAACGGTCAAGTGATGACCGGACGCGCTGCTACGAAGTGACCGGACGCTGGACCTCAGAGTCCGGTCGTTTCCAGTAAGCATCCAGAAGCGAAAAATCACGACCGGACGCGTCCGGTCATGCTCGACCGGACACAACCAGCGTCCAGTCACACGGCGACTCCCCTATGCGCTGCCATGTCAGCAGGACCGGACGCACCCCTCTAGCGTCCGGTCACTAAGTGACCCAACGTCCGGTCAGAGACCGACTCCAGTGTCTTTGCAGCTTCTACTGACCAGACGCGCCGGTCCAACCGAGGCCAGTGCCCGGTCACTTACAGTGACCTCCATCTTTTCTGTTTAGGGCGTTGGTGTCACCGTTAGACTGTCCACACTCTACGGGTGGACACTCCATCGGTGAAGTTTCTTACCCTTGCTCCCAAGTGCTAAACACAATATGTATCACCTTTGTGCATGTGTGTTAACATATTTTCACAAGCATTTTTAAGGGTGTTAGCACTCCACTAGATCTTAAATGCATATGCAATGAGTTAGAGCATCTAGTGGCACTTTGATAACCGTATTCCGATATGAGTTTCATCCCTCTTAATAGTACAGCTATCGAACCTAAATGTGATCACACTCGCTAAGTGTCTTGATCACCGAAACAAATGGCTCCTACAACTTATACCTTTGTCTTGAGTTTTTTGTTTTTCTCTTTCTTCTTTTCAAGTCCAAGCACTTGATCATCACCATGGCATCACCATCATCATGATATGATCTTCATTTGTCTCATCACTTGAAATGTGCCACCTATCTCATAATCACTTTGATAAACTAGGTTATCACTTAGGGTTTCATCAATTCACCAAAATCAAACTAGAGCTTTCATCGGCTTTACGTCAAATTGCTCGGACTTGTTTAAGACAGCGTTGCTCAAAGGGTACAAGGCGCTCGGGGACTAGCTGTAGGGGTATGGCCCCCGGTACCCACAAGACAAGACATGGGCCGCGCCCCAAAGGTGGCCTAGCCCACAAGATCAAGGCGTGCACCGCAAGACTACAAGAAGATGTGGTTTATTATATAATACCAAATATGATATTTTCCTTGTAACCCTATCCCTCCAGAGTATATAAGGAGAGGCAGAGGTCCCCTAGACGATATATCGAATCTGATACACAATCAATACAAAATAACAGAGCACATGATGTAGGGTGTTACGTCAAGCTGACGGCCTAAACCTGTATAAATCTTGTGTCTTGTGTCTCTGTTACCATCTGGTTCGCATCATGCACACCTCTACCGATTCATCTACTACCATGGGTATACCCCTCGGTAGACTACCGACAAGATTTCGTCGATAAAAACATAAAGCTTCACGGCCACAGACCTGTCCCTTTCCACACGATATAACGTAGAAGCACCCTATCTTCCTACGCACCTCCAAGAATAAAGAGAGATTGGCAGCTATATATACCCATGCTATGCCCAGTTCCAGTCATCAAATCAAAAGCCATAGCAGCACGCAATTAACATGCCTAATCAACCATGGATATCCCCAAGGCATTGATCTTTGCAATCCTCATCGGCTCCTTCTTGTGTAATGCAGCACTCGTTGCTCGTGACCTGAAAGACGACGACTCAGCAATGATGGAGAGGCATGAGCAGTAGATGGCATGGTACAGCCGCGTCTACAAAGATGCCATCGAGAAGGCGCAGAGGTTTGAGGTGTTCAAGGCAAATGTCAAGTTCATCGAGTCGTTCAATGCTGCCGGGAACCGCAAGTTCTGGCTTGGCATCAACCAATTCGCGGACCTCACCAACGACGAGTTTAGGGCCACCAAGACTAACAAGGGCTTCAAACCTAGCATCGAAGCACTTTCAACGACCATCGACTGGAGGACCAAGGATGCCGTCACTCCCATTAAGGATCAAGGGCAGTGTGGTAAGTATATATTGTAGCTAACAATACTTTTGAGCAACTATATATTGTGTGTAACGATAACATATGTGTTGAAATGTGATCGGTTCGGCTAATCCTGAACTTAATTATGAGATTAATTAAGCATTAAGCTTTTAGTCCACCCACTCGTCATTTATTTCCAACTAAATAACAACTGCCGTAATGGCCTCATGATGATATTTATTCCCATTTCATATAAAGTTTATTATCCATTTTATTTAGTAATCTTTAAGTTAATCTAAGTATGTTTTTGGAAGCATGTTGCTGAGAATATTTAAGTTTAAGAATTTTTTCTTTAGAGCATTTTACTTACTTAGTTTTATGCACTATTTAAATAAGTTTTAAGTTTGAGTTTTTAGTTTTAGTTCCAGTATTAATTCTATGTTTTCTTGAGCATTATTATGCTTTATATTGATGCTCTAAGATTATGTTTTGCATTAATTTTGCATTTAATCATATGTATTTATATTTATATATATATTATATCCACCACTGTATAATAGGATGGTCTTTGGTTGAATGGAACCAATGAGAAGTTTAACTAGAGATTAGTCATAATTAATTTCTGACCAACGTTAACTTTAATTATGAGTTATTTAAGATGAATTTTGGTTTGTTTCTGCCCAACGGTGATGCAAATTAAAGTTCTTAGAGTCCGTTTAGTTGGGCTTTTAGCTTTTTTTTGGCCCCAAAAGCCAAAAGCCCAACCAAATGGGCTGCTTTTGGAGGCTGCTTTTCCATAGTACATTTTTAAAAGTTGGTTTGACCCTGCTTTTGTCTTTTGACTTTCTGCTTTTTAAAATTGATGGAATAAAAAGCTCTTCTATAGTTGTTTTTCAAGAGAGATAAAGATAGAAGATATATTTTATATTTGTTTAACCAAACAGCTCTTAGCTTTTTTATAGCTCATAGCCCACAGCAGCTTTCCCACAGCTCACAGGCATAGCACTTTTTTCCACAGTCATAGCTCAACCAAACACATCCTTAAGCATGCTGTTAATACTGACCAACGTTGTTTTAACTTCATGCTTTAAGTACATCTTATATACAGCTTACTAATTGAGACATTATTTTGCTTTATTTTTTTAGTAAATTATGCAGACTATATAACTACCATAGAACCCCTAAGTTGCACTAATTTTCCTACTTGAAATAATTAGGTGCATGCCATTCTTAAGGAGCTGGACCTTGACTATGCACTTAATGAGGAAAAACCACATGCTCATTCTCCTATTTATGATTACTACATTGAGAGGATGAAGGAGTACACTCCTAAATTAGAAAAATGGGAGAAATCCGATAGGATTGCAAAAATGATCATAAGATACTCAATCTCTTTTGATATGAGAAAATTTTTCCCTACTAAAAAGGATAACAGGGAATTAAGTGTTAAGGAGCTTCACAACTCCATAAAAGCACATTTCAGAAAGGTTTTCCTCTTTGATAACTTAATTAATTCCCATTATGATGGGATAAGTGGCCTGGGTAACCACATTAAAAGCTTGTTTGATATGACTTATGAATTGAAGGCACTTGGATTACATGTGTCTGATGAGTTTATGGTAAATTGCCTTATGAGTTCTATGCCAGAAAACCATACCAAACATGCTCAAAATGATAAGTTTCCAACGGTCTGCAAATTTTGCAAGTTACCAAATTGATGATAAGTATAAGAATGGCTTCGAAAGACAGATAACTTAAGTTGTCTCATAAGTTTTACTTAAGATATTTCTCCAACATATGGTGGATTAACTAAGATGCAATAATGCATATCTTAACTTCTCCTCAGGTCTTGCCAAACTAGGGGAGCAAGGGGAGCAAAGTCTAAGGAGCCATTGATGGAATAAAGATGAAGTCGAGCATTGGAGCTTCGCATTAGATTAGTTTTAAACTTTGTTCTTAATGATGCTTATTGTAATAGCCTAGGTGTTTGTCACCGGTTAAGCAGTGGGTTTGAGCTCCAACATGATAAGTTCAGTGGTAATCAATAGCTCTAGTTTAAACTTGTAAGTGGTGACAAAGGTGTTGGGATCAACTCTCTAAGAATGAGCCCCAACTTAAACTTGGACAACACACCTTTGCTTCTATGTTGACCTTTTTTAGAGGTATGCCTGATTAATGTTAAAAGTGCCCCATTCATGTGCCTCACATCTATTTCCATCTACATTAACTATTGGAAAGGTTTTATGAAGTTTGGAGCCAAAAAGTCGCATAAAATGATATGTTACATTTTGCTTAAATTGCTTCATTATGCAAATGGAAACATGGGATGTCGACCAAACCTTGCTACCTTGCCTACATGACTCTAATTGAGCTCTACAACAAAAATCATGAAGGGTTTGTGTTGGGCAGATGCCAAGAAAATGCTTCTAAGTGTAGGAATAGCTAAAATTGTCTTTTTCATGATATGGTTTTGACCTGTGTTGATCAACTGTTGGAGTGCTTGCATGGAGTTGGACCTTAAATAAAAGTTGTAGTTCTGCTTAAGTAGAACAAACTTTATTTTTGGACTAAGACCTGATTCAACTTCTAAGTTTCTCATATAGGGGTCTCAAGTTTGAATGCAGCGCTGTTTTGGCCCCTCTAAAATATTTCCAAGTCCCTGTTTGACAACAGCGAGTTGACATGTTTGTGAATTTTTATCTTCCAAATTCATATGGTAACTCAACTAATTCCTTAATTTGAGTTGAAGTACACTTTGTGCTGGAAACAATGAAGCAAGTCTCATCAAGTTTGGGGTTCATCTGGATCTTCGAAGTTAGTTTCAAAAGCAGCAAATGCTAACTATTTCTAGGAGTTAACTGAGCCTCAGTTTTAGTTTCATGTACCAGACTTTGGAGCCTTATATCTTGCAAACCAAGCTGATCCAAACCTTGATCCTTTAATGAAAGTTGTAGTTTAGTTTGTGCTCAATAAACTTTGTTTAAGGGTTAAGAGATAGTTTGGTCCCTAACTTAGTCAAACTGAGGCCTCAAGACTGAACCCAGTGCTATTTTGGATCTCAAAATTTTGGCTGTCTGAGATTTGCAATGTTGATGATGGTTGGCATTTCATGTTCTCGGATTTTGTTAAGCAACTTAAGTTGAGCCAAAAATAAGAGTTGGAGCTAATTCCATGAAGAAAGAATAGGAAGAAGTTAGATCAAATTTGACCACATTTTGACCAAGTAATTCAAGCTCAAGCAAAGCAAGGCTTAACCCTTGATTAGTCGTTGACACTATCAACTTGGGGCTTAGTTAGCCGCTAATGGAGAGCTCTAATGACCAGGCACCCTTAATGAGTTTTGTAGATCATCAGGTGGGATGCAACTTTGCTTTTGGGTCCAAGGTCTAAATTGGCCCGTAGCCGGCCCAATTCGGCTCCCACCTTGCCCACTTCATTGCATGCCACGTGCTTGGCACAATGCCCCATGGCTGCCATGCTCAGCGCCATGCGTCCTCCTCCATGGCACGCACCCCTGCTCTCTCCTCGCCTTGATTTGGAGCTACCAGAGCTCCCTCTCAGTCTCTCCCTCACTCTCTCCACTCCCTCTGTGCTCTTCCTCTGCCCCTGTAGCCCGCTGTTGCGAGAGCACCAGCCGCCGAGCCACCTGCTGTCATGACCAGTCCACCTCGACCCAGCGTGGAGCAAGCCGCGGGTGCCTATGGTTGCGCACAGTCCTGGACGAGCCCCCTGGCACTCCACGCCGCCGCTCACCGTCGGAGCTCCGCTAGCGCCCTGTCCGCCAGAGCCGCTGCCGCTACAAACCGCCGCCTCCATGGCCGATAGCTTGTAGGCAGTCGCTGCCTAGGCTGCACCCTTGGTGGGTGCGCCTGGCCATAGGGAAGCTACGCCGCCACTTCTCCTCCACCGCCATCGACCACCTCCTCTACTCTAACTCGCATGAAGGGCCTCACGTAGCAATAAGAAGAAAGGGAAGGGCTTAAGTGCAAAGACTGTGACTCATGTGAATAGTGACTATAGGGACCTATTCGCTGGAATCTATTTTTGTGGAAGTTCAGGGTCCTCGGTGCAAATTTGTTTTTCCTTTATGGCTAAAACTTTGGAAAATCATAGTAAATCGTAGAAAAATTATAAAATAGCAAACAAACATGTTTTGGAGTCCTTGTGAGTAGATCTACGTAGTAGAGTCATAATATGATATGTGTTAGTAGAAAGTTTCTGCTGTTTTTATTTATTATTGTAAAGTGCTTTTAAAAATGCTTTTAAGTTGGATAGATGCATATCTTGAGTTATAGAAGTCCAAAAAATGGTAATTCTAGTTGTGTTAATCTTGTGATGACATGATCTTGCTAATAAAAATATTAAACGTGCTAATTGTGTATTGTTTTTATAATGTTTTGACTTAATCTTGCTAAATAGACAATTTTAGCTTGTTTTGCTTGTTATTCTCATACCTAAAGTTGTAATGCTCCAAATGGCATGAAATTTTAATTGTAGTATATATATGTGATGCAAGACATCTGGTTAAAATTTCATGATTTTTGGTGCATGTATTACTTAGTAAATAATTTATCTTGCTAGGTGCTTGATAAGTAGTTGTAAATGCTTGATAAATATCATAAGGTGTAAAAAAATGGAAAATGTTGTTCCATTGCCTTTGCATGGTATGGTGGTAATCTAAGCAAACCTAATTTGGTCATGTGTTTATAGAAAATGTGGAGGTTTAGATTTGTCTTGCTCTCACATGCTTATTTGCAATTAAAACTTGTTTTGCATGTAATAATCAATTTATAAAACTTGAGCATGTAAAAATTGTACAGTAACCATGCTTTGTTATCATATCTCTCTCATAAAAACCTAGGCTCCAAATTAGAATGTTTGTAACATCACCTTTTTATTAGTTGCATGTTAATTAAACTTTGAAGGACATGTGCTTTTCTTATTAGATGTTTATACATGGTTCTTGTGATGCTAATGTCATGTGTTGGTTTGAGATGAGGTTGTATGGGTTCCTCACGATGGCTTAGAGCTATGTTTTG